TTATCAGAAAAAAACGTCTCAGCTTTGAGGAGATTTTTGCAATATTTTCCTTTCAAAAAAATCACTTCGAGGGTTATCGAAAAAAAGAAATAAATTCTCATTGATGAGTTCAATATGTGACAAAAGTTGCTTTGATATTCAAGCGGGTGGACTTTTTGAAGAAAATTTTCAAGCAGAATGAACGATAGTGTTTGACGGAGAACAGTAAAACGAGGGTTGAAAAAAAACCATGCAGACCGAAAAAGAAGGTACCAATGATGCCAATGTCTGAAAAAAGGGGTTTAATGTCGGAATCGATCAAACATAGCGTTACATAATGAATTTCCAGTATTTTTCCTGAAAATAACGACCAGAGATGAAGTAACAAACGGGGATGCTATCAGTACCATTGGTATGATCATCTGAAGTTTTTTTTTTCAAAAAAATAAATAATTGATAAAGAAGGCAACCTGACAACATAGAGAGAAGAAAAACACTTTTTGCTGTTCAAGCGTTTTAGCTGAGATAGTGCTTTGAGATTTTAACAAGAAGTAACAAGTTCTGAAGCTGAAAAACGAGCCGCAGATCCCGATTATAACGAGCGCGATTTTCAGGCAATACATGCTGTAATTGTTATTCATGACGCAAGCCTGTGACGTAAATATGTCTTCTGGTATGCAGCCGAGTCGCTGAAAAACGGAAAAAAAATCAGTAAGTTTTCCATTTTTCTTTTGAAAAGTAGTAAATGAAACCACTGGCGGGCAGGTTTTGCTTAGCGATTTTGGAAACTCTAGCCTGTCTTCGCCCTCTGCTCTTTGTCTTCGCTATTTTCCTTCTCTTTTGATTCTACGAACGGCCGAAGTAGTTTATATAAAAAAGGTTTTGGTAAAACTCCGCTTTGACAAACTAGAAGTTTTGCATTTTTCTTTTGAGGCATAAAATCGGATTTTGGCTCAGTGAAAAAAAAAGGAGAATGTCAAAAAGACGACCAATATAATTCTCGGCGTATTCTGAAACCTGCACAGTGAAAAGCTTTGCTGTCGCCTGATCCGTTGGAATACTCTCATACATCAACCAAAGCGGGACTCCCAGCGATAGGAAAAATGTAAAGAGGAATACGGATCGTTTCTTCCGGTTGAAATAAAACCAACTGGTTGTGGAGACAATAGAAAAATGCCTGTGCTCGAAAAGCGCCATCACACTCGTTATCATGCCTGGAACAGTTTCATCAAGCATAATCCATTTTTTCCAACTTGAAAAATTGTATAGCGGCCTTAGTAGGGGCACGCGAAGTTTTTTTCGTCATTAAAAAAAGTTTTCTTCATTTTTTTCGATGAAGAAAGACAGTCTCCGAAAAGTGACTCAAGCAAATTGATCGATTTTATCTACTGAAAAAACTAGACAAAAAAAAACGCATCGAAATCGCGTAGCACGCTACAAAAGCCGCTGTTTGGTACCATGAACTATATTTTCAAGTTTACTGGAAATTTACATGGAGCGACCGCAAGAGCTATGCCAAATTGAGCTTTTATCGGTATCTGAATCGTTTTGAACAAGCCGTTAGAATAAGCGCCCCACACTGGATTGTACGCAATAGGCAAGAAAAAAATTGTAGCCAAAACGTCGGCCACGAAACTCCTAGAAATAAATAGTAGTTTTTGGGAATACATTGTTCTTTTGTCATTTTAAAAGTGTGGAGAAAATTCTAACCACGCTTGAGAATTGATCAGCAGCCGTTTGTAGTGTTTCAGCATAGTCGGCGGTGATTTCTTGATGATGCAGTAGAATCCAACAATATTCATTGGAAAAGTAAGAACAAAACTGATAGGTGCAGCTATTCGAAGATTTTGGGGACTGAAGATCGAATGAGGTTCACAATCGGAGATATTCATCAAGCTCATTGTGAGGGAAGCGGTCTTTAATATTACTTGTCAAAAAACCGAGAATGCAATTAAATGGAAAGTAGATGGCAGGTGCTTTTTCAGAAACCTGTTTTTGATAGTCAATTTACGATGAATTGGACGGTCAGGTAAATAACGGATGTTTTATATTACTCTAACGGCACACATAACGAACCGAATCCTTTGAAGAAAAGATAAATCTAAGATTTGCGCTGCACCCTGACCTTAACCGGTTTACTTGTAAGCTATAGAATGTCGTTGCGCGCAAGTAATTTTTGTCGGGTGCAGTGACGCAGCTTGAAAAAATTGGCCCTTTAATCTTGTATTCAAAACAATATATTTTTCTATATGAAATAGTGATTTTTCTTTTATTTGGTACTATCAGGGTTGAATTATTTCTCCCTGGTAGATTTCTTTTTGATTTCTAGGCAAAAAAAGCATTTAAAAAAATTATCAAATTAAATCATCAAAAAGTTTTTCGAACTAAGTAATTGCATAAATTTCCTACTTTGATGGAATTTATAAGGCCATTTCACAATTTATTATACCCCGTGGAAGTTTATGCCGTGGTCAATTTGATTCCGCAAAATGCAAAATGATCTCTGACTCTCCAAAAATTTAGTGATCTTTTTCCTTTCTCTAACGGGTATATCGCATTTCGCGGAATCAAATGAAAACGGCATTATGAAGAAACTCAAACATCAGTATACTTATTGATTTATAATTCATATTTATAATCCACAAAATGAAATTTAGAAAGAAGATGGAACAAAATTCAGATGAAGTTTTAAGACAAAAATTGGGTAAGATCGATGAAGAACTTTAGCTGGAAGTTTCGTTAGTTACTTTCGAGCTTATTCATCAAAGTAAGGGATTTTTAGGGAAAATTTGAAAGCAGAATGAACGATAGTGTTTGATGGACAATAAAAGAACGATGGTAGAAAATAAGCCGTGTAGACCAACAGTGAAAGTGCCAAAGATGCCGACATCTTCAAAAGAGAGTTTACAAATTCGAATTCATTAATCTCTTACAAAAATATTTTCCAGCTGTTCCTTTGACAAAATATAGCAAACCGGATATTGCAAAAGGAGACGCTATAAAAACCAATGGTAAGATGATCTAAAATTCAATGAAGTTTTTCAACTGGTAAATGAAGGAAAACCTGACAGCACAATGAGAAGAAGAATAACTTTTGCTGTTCAAGAGTTTTAGCGGAAAAGGTACTTTGATTCTTCAGCAACAAAAAGTACCCAATACGAAAGCAGAAAAACCCACTCCAAATAGCGGTCAAAATAAGCACTACTCCAATGGAATAAGAGCCATAGGTATCCTCCATGATCAAAGCCTGAGACGTGAAAATGTCTTCTGGGATGCAACCAAGTTTCTGAAAAAGGATATTTACTCACAAGGCATGTTTTTAGCCCTGATTCTGGTTTGAAACGTACCTTTATGGTCGAAATCTTGGCTGACGCTTGATCTGTAGGCATAGTTTCATACATTATCCAAAGTGGGAATACTAGTGATAACAAAAAAATAAGAGAAGAAATATATAGCGACTTTTTTTCCACTAAAATTGAAACAACTCTCCCGAGGTGTTACACAAAAAAATGACGATGCTCGAACAGCGCCACAACACTAGTGAACAGGACTGAATCTATTCTGATTAGATCCATTAAAAGGACCATACATGGGACGATTGCGTTTTTAAGTTCACGTTTGACACACAATCAGACCCCAAGAGGAGGCCTTCTTTCTTTGCGACTTTGAATCTTCTTTTTACGTTGGATTGTATGAGATAGGTAAGAATAAAATGGTATCCAGAACATCGATAACACAACTCCTGGAAATAATCCAGATATATAGTAACATCACTAATATTCACTATGCTTGACAATTGATAAGAAGCCGTTTGCATCTTCGCATCTTTATTGAAGGGGATTTCCGGATAATACAATAAAAAGCGACAAAATTCAAAGGAAAAGAGAGAATTAAGCTTGTGGGTTAAGCCAGCGATTTGAAGATTCCTTGAATTTAAAATGGGGGGTTGTTCAAAATCCAAGAAATTCATCAACCTCGGTGCTCGAAAGTAATAGGTAGCTTTAGAGCAACAAACAGGTGATTTTCCAAAGTCTCTTCATGTTACTGGGAAAGCATTGAAAAAATAATTTTTCAAAACCTCACACATCAAAGAACTTTATGCTTAAAGTTGAAAAACTTTGGTGGTATTTTCGTGACGGGTAGGGTGTCTGGAGAGTAATTGAAGGCAAGTTAGACGGTAGTGTTTTATAGACAATAACAAAACAATAGTAGAAAACAAGCCGTGGAGACCGAAAAAGAAAGTTCCAATGATGCCGATATCTGGAAAACAATCATTTGGGTTAATTATACTCCGGTAGTTACAGAACAAGTTTCCTGTCGACTCCTTTGAATTTATTAACCAGATAAGTGATAAAGTAGGGAGATATTATAAATACAAGAGGTATTAAAAATCTGAATTTCGATAACTTTATGAGTCAAAAAGAGAATGAAACCTGGCAGCTGAGTGAAAGAAAGAACATTTTTCTGTTGTTCAAGGGTTTTTCGCTGACATTGTTTTTTTGAGACTTCAGTAAAAAAATAGCAGATTCGAAAAACTGAAAAAAGGCACAAGACGTGGCGACCAGAACCACAAATCTGAAGCAAATAATGCACAGATAATTGATACTCAGGATGCAAGCTTGTGTGGTGAATATATCTTCTGGAATACATCCTAGTCTCTGAAATATGGAAAAATTTAGAACGATTCTATTGAAAATCTTAAAAACATGGGTTGGGCTCACGAAATATTCAAAAGAAGCTCGAGCTTTTTTCTTGAATTTTCAGACCTCCGATTCAAATGAAAACTTTGTAAAGCTCAGTATTTTTATACCTTTTTTTGGAAAGGTAAAAATTAGAGTCATTATTATCAACCTACCTGTATTGCTAGAAGCTTTGCTGTGGTTTGATCAACAGGGATTTTTTCATACATCAGCCAAAGTGGTATTCCTATGGTTATGAAAAATAGGAATAGAAAGGTTTGGCGTTTTTTTGTACTGAAAAAGAACCAACTGTCTCGAGATGTGATACAAGAATGCCTGTGCTCAAAAAGCGCCAAAATACTTGTTATCTGGCCTGAATTGTTTAAAATGAAGCTGATGAAAATGAATGGAAACGTACACGAAGTAACAGCAAGCATGATCCCGAACTGAGCTGCTATCGGTACATTTATAGTTCTGAAAAGGCCATTTGAATAGCCTCCCCATAGCGGATTGTAAGCTACAGGCAAGAACAGAACTGTGGCCAAAAGATCAACAATGAAGCTCCTGAAATTGAGTTTTTGGTGGATAATCCAAATATTCTCACCATGTTTGACAATTGATCAGAAGCCATTTGTAGTGCTTCAACATAATTGGAGGTGATTTGTTGATGATGCAATGAAAGGCAAGAATATTTATAGGTAAGGTGACTCCAAAGCTAATTGGTGCAGAAATTCGAAGATATTTAGCATTGAACAAGGGATGAGCTTCACAATCAGGGTAGTTCATTGAATTCTTTGGAAAAAGCTGATGATGTTAGTGAATGGTTTACATTTCAAGCTGTGAGAAAGCAGAAACAGGTGCTTTTCTGATGTTTGCTCAAATTAGTTTACTTTCAACATGTTTAAAGTAGCACCTTGCATAAAAAGTATTATAATGAAAGTTTTTACGAGTAATTTTTCGCAAAGCCGACATTATAATATTTCAAGACCGATTTTTTGATACATTCGTTAGAATTTATTCCATACAGACATACCACAAGATTCTCACAATGGAGGTAGTTTTACTTTGCTGTTGATATTCTGTTGAAAATTGTCTAGAAAGCTTCTCAATGTGCCAGAAAAATATTCTGAAAGCTTGCAAAAATCTCTGGGTAGAGTGCTAATTAAAGTTACAGGTTCCGCAATTTGAGCATTATTTGCATTGAAGAAATGATGGGAATCACAATCAGTAAAATTCATCCATTCAAAATCGTTGAAACGAGTAATAAAAGTGATTAGTTAAAACTGCTGGCAAAAGTTTAAATTCTGAGAAAAGGAGAGAACGGTGGTTTTTATATTTCCGTTGAAAATGAACCACACCAGAAAGAAAACAAAGATCAGAAAAAGCATCGGTGCGAATGATTCATATATCAAGAGTTGTGTAGAAATGGTTATGCCCAGAAGGTAGCGACCGCAAAGCCCCGCTTTTCGCGAGAAAGAAAAGGCCATGGTATTCCGTGTGACTGTTTCTGTACAGCCGATAGAAACAATGAAAAATGATGAAAATTCCAGCATACATGTAGCAAAGGTTCCTCTTTCCGTTGAAAAGGTTTTTAGGTGGTACTTTCCATGTGTTTCAAACGGAGTGTCGTACGGAATAGTGATGCGAGTTCGAAAAATAAAGCTCGCTTTGCGTTTTGATATTAATCTAGGTCGCGGACAAAGCCGATGAAAACTACTTATAAACAATAAATGAAATCTGTTTAAGCCATAAAAATTCTATGTTCGCCCAAAATTGAGAGGCGCAAAGTCAAAAATTGTGCTCAATTGCAATGCAGTATTGGAAGATGTTTATGCTCTATATTGAGTGAAAAACATGCTCAAATAATACTGGTTGACAACGACAAGCAAATGTGTACTGTTTTGAGTGGTAAAAGCTGGAGAATGCGAGTTGTTTTGAAACATTTCGGTCGAGGACACGCGTTTCTTCCTACTCATTTATAAGAGTTTTAATTTTCAAACAAATAAAGCAATAAAACTCGCATTCAAGATCGCCGATCTCAACAGGTGAATAAAAGTAGGTCTGAAATGACATTTTTATGGGATTCAAAGAGCACAGTAGGCTGCATTTGTGCAGTCACTGCGAGACGAAAATGATGGTAAAGTGGAATTACAGCTCGTAAAACCTTCTCTTTGGCTCCTGAAACCGTGCCGACCCTTTGCAAATATGGGTGCGCGCAGATTGCATTGGGAATTCGCAAAACCAAAAATTTCTTAGTGCAAAAAGTTTTGCTTTCGATTTTCAAAGTATTGTTTTCTCCTTCTTAATCTTAATATTTTTCGTTTTTCTTTTCTGTTTTCGCATACTACATGTTAAAATCATTATTTTTATAACAAAAACGAGGAGCTAGCTTAAGTTCGAAAAATAAGTCTGTGGTCCCTACCAGAAGGCGTTTGATGACTATGAGTAGCGATTTTTACTGCTACATAAAAATATCAGAGTTCTAATCATTAGTAATTCGGTTGAGTATCCATTTTTGGCAGAACTATCACTAGGAGAATGCTGTAGAATCTAGTGTCTAATGCCAGTTTGAAAGCGACCTAAGGGAGATAGTTTGTAGTGTTTTCTGACGCATTGGACGCTTGTAGAAAAACTGGAAACAAAAATAAACGGTAGTGTTTCATAGGAGATTAACAGAATGATTCTGGTGGGATATTAATCCGTGGAGACCGGAAAGTGAAGGTTCCACCACGAGGGCAAGCCTCTAGACTTTCAAGTCTTTTAAATAGTCATTACGCGAAGATAACCGGACAGTCGAACCATCAAGCACCTTCACAACATTGACTGGATGCAAACGGAGCGATACAAAATTATGAGTGCACGGTAATCTAAATTTTTAATTTTACGATGATTCCCAATTGGAAGGCTAACCTGACAGATCCAGAGAAGAAAAATCGTTTTTGTTGTTCATCTCGTCGAGATGTGGCTCCTAGCCTTATATAAGAAGAGCAGTTCTTGAACTGAAAAAGAAGCCGACAACGGTGTGAGAACAACGACCAAAGTTCTGAAGCATTGAAAGCAGAGAATACTGACGTCCATGCTGCATGCATAAGGAGAAAAGATATCTTTCTGCATGCAAACCGATTTTCTGTTACGAAAAAGGTATCATCAGTCTGACTTCGAAAAGGATTTGGGTAGATTGTTAAGGATGTCTCTGATATCCGATTAGTTTTGAAAATCGAGCCACGCCCGCACTTTTTGGACCTCTACAAATCACGAAGACCTGTATCATTCTTTCCTCGTTTTCGTACTAAAAAGTATTTTAGCAAACAGCTTCCAATCCTCAAACTAGAAGCCATAATGTTTTTACCCCAGCCCAAATTTGAATGCGCTTGATTTTCACTTTCTGATTTTGAGCACACCTCCTCGGCTTTTTGCGCAAGCGGTAAGGGTGATAGCGGGAAAGTCGAGGTCAGGTCTCGTGGAAAAATATGTAGAAGTTGTTAACTCTTTTTATTCATTAAACTCATATTTAAAAATCTTTTGAAAATGATTAAAAAGGTGTGCATAGCGCTTGACCTCTCTTGAAAATTCCACCTGTAATATTGACTCATGTTTAATACAGAAATGAAAAGTTTAATGCGTACCTGTATAGCTAGTGGAGTTTCGCGGTTTTCTGATCTTTCTGGAATGTTTTCATACATAATATGGATTATGGATGCCAAGAAAAGTAGAAATAGAAATGTGTAGCGCTTTTGTTATCGAAACAGAACCAACTCTCTCGCGGTGTCACACAAAAATGTCTTTTGTTCTATGAGGGCATGAACGCTGGTAATCATGCCTGAATCTCAGACTTTTGAGATTGATCACCACGAACATGATATGACGAACATAGTGATCCCAAGTTGATATTCTACGGGTATATGAAAAGTTCTGAAACAGCCCATTGGAATATCCGTCATACTGGAGTATACGATATGGGTGAGAGCACTGACCAAGCTATCTGTCATGAGACTCCTGGAAACAGTTTCAGGACTGGATTTAAAAGAGAAAGCCGAGGCCAAAAACCATAACTGACAATTGAATAAGAGCCATTTATAGTGGGGTGGAGGCACTGTGCTTTCAAGAAAAGCAGTAGTGATAAAAAAACCTTTGTTTCTGAACGGTTTATTGTCCGTTATCAAGCGTTGAAACTTTTCAAACTTGTCTCCTGACGAATTTGAACCTTAAAGAGGGAGCAAAATAGACTTAAAGAAAACAGGCGATAATGCCTAGTGGACAACAGTAGAACGACGGTAGAGCATAACCCATGAAGGCCAAAAAAGAAAGTGCCCATTGTTCCGATTTCTGAAATATTTATTTTCAAATTTTCAGTAAGGTTCCTAGTTACGTAGCAATCGTATTCTCAAAAGGTTCATCACTCCAACTGCCATCACAGGGGCTATGAGAAGAATAAGGGGTATGAAGAGCTGAAAGTCTGGTTTATTTAATTATCTTGAGGGTTTCGAGCGAAAACCTGAGCGCAAAAGAGATAAAAAGGTTTTTCTGTTGTTCACGAGTTCTAGAAGAGATATGGCTTTGACTCTGTAGTAGAAAAATGACAAATCTGAACGCTAAAAAAATAGGGCGAAGAAGGTTACGAACGATGCCATCGCGAGAAAAAGGTACAGACAAAATGCTGTGAGATCTAAAATGCAAGCGTGCGGGGTGAAAAATATCTTCTGAATACAGCCGAGTGTCTGAAATTCGAAAAATTCTTTCAATTTATCCAAGTTTAATTTATATTTTTAATATCGCGGGGTAGTCACTTTCAAGACGGTTGTAAGGTTTTTTGCATTTGTTTTTAAATAATAATTCACTCTCAAGATTTAATTAGTACCTTTACAGTTATGAGCTTCGCCGCCAACTGGTCTTCTGGAATTTTGATGAGCATTAACCCGAAAATTGACCCGACGACTGCAAAGTGTAGAAATAGAAATATGTAGCGTTTCTTTACATTGAGACTGAACCAGCTGTTTGATGGGGTGACACAAAAATGTCTATGCTCAAAAAGGGCTATCACCGAAGTTATTATACCTAGAAAACTTTGAGTTTTGGAAAAATGCAAACAAGGTACTCACAAGGACAAACGAAAAATGCTATTCCAAGCTCGGCTTTCATTGGAATACCCATTGAACGGAACAGCCCATGAGAATAACCGCCCCAAATAGGACTGTAGAACACGGGCGAAATCAAAATGGTAGCCAGCAGGTCGACAGCAAAACTCCTGAGCAACTTTCACAAAATGATATGAGGGGAAATGTTTATTTACCATGCTTGAAAGTTGAAAAGAAGCCATCGATAATGTTGCAGCATGTTAGAAGGCGACTTATAGACAATACAGTAAAAAGCAAGGATATTGAGTGGAAAAATAATAATGGAAGTCATGATTCCTGATATTCGAAGGAAGGTCCCATTAAACAAAGGGTTTGGCTCACAAATAGGATAGTTCATTTTTTCAACTTTTGATTGATAAAAAAAGCGGAAAATGTTGTTCAATTGGAGGGAGAACAATGGAAAGTGAAGCGGTATTGAGGAAGCCAGGTGTTTATTTTTTTCATTTCCCAAAAGCAAATTCACAATCCGTCGCAAAACATTATCATTGCACCTGCTTTTTAATACCTTTTTATGAACGCTAAATAATTATTTTATAAAATAAAAACAAAAAAACTTCCTTCTGCTTGTGGAGAAAGTTTTATTATTTTTAAAAATGACTAAAAAAAGTAGTGCTGATGAGAAATAATCCAAAACATAATACGGTTCACTTTTCTATAGTTTGCTTCGAGTATTTCATGAGCGTATAATTACTTTGCTTTGAGCTCAAAGTTATAGAAAAGCAAAGAGAAAATAGCTTGAATTTTTCATTTTACAGAAATAAACAATGAAAAGAACAGAAAATCTGGAGGCGCCTTCTTCGTGGTGGACATATTTTTCAGGAGCGCTGTTGTTTTTAATGATTTCGGAGATAAAAAAGCGCGGAAACCATTCAAATCTTCTGATGAACTTTAACTTTGAAAAGCTCATGTATTCAGCGAACAAAAGATAATCATTCGGGGAAAGAAAAAAAAAGTTCAAAATACTTTGGAACTCAACCCGTGGAGGCACAGAATTAGGATGTTTCTTCATTTATCATGCTTGAAAATCGAGCAGAAGCCATAAATAATGTTGCTACACACTGTAAGGAGATTTCTAGAATGCAGGGAAAAATTAGGATATTGATGAGAGCCATGATAAAAGTTATGATTCATGATTTTCGGAAGAAAGATACATTAAACAAGATAGTTGCCACGCAATCAGAAGAATCGATTTATTTCATTTTTTTATTCCCTCCTACTATTAAAAGAAACGTGAAATCTGCGCTGGGACTTCAACAAAGGCAGGTGGCCCTCTTTCTTCGTTTCTTAAAGGGTTGTCAGAAAAAAAACTGACCATCTTTTACACCTGCTTCAATTATATTTGAAGTGGGATGCTAAACAATTCTGTGTAAAGATTTCGGAATGAGAACAAACAGGAGATGTAATATTAAAATTCGACCAGAGACGGCAAAAAAGGAAGTTCGAGGTGGGCTCTGAGTCAAATTTTTTTGTAATCAGAATAGTTCGAAAATCATTATGATTACATCTGCTCCGAGTAAATTTTTGTTAACGCTTATAGAAGAACTGAATTGGACTTTTTCCGGCACCGTTGAAGGGAACTCTGACGAAATGGTTGCAAAGGAGCCGAGTTTGATAACAGGTGGCCCAAAGCTAATATGAGCTTCATGGAAATTTTTTCCTTGATTTCGCTATTATTTCGTATTGAGAAGTCCCATCACCTTGTTTGTGCTCGTTCATAAGAACTTTCATAGAATTATTTTTAATAAATGTTTTTTTGCTATCAAACAGAAATCACTTTAGTTTTCCATCATACGTGCTCTGTTCCAGTCATCTTAGACAACAGGGAAGTTGCTGCTAGGATAATTATTATGTGTCTTGTGAGGCAAATTTTTTTCTGTGAATAAAAACTGGAACGCACATTTAAGTCTCTTCTGATTGCGCAATTGATTATAGGTTATTGAAGATTTCACCAACCCGTAAGAAAAAGCAAATTATCCAGTTGAACACTGTTCCTCGGAACCCTAATATTCGGCTGAAACCATGATTCACTGAGGAGTTCTAGACAAAGTTATGGATTTCATTGCCGAGGCAAATAGAATTACAGGACCAAACGTCAGAATTGCACCTGACTTGAAAAGTTGGAGCGTTTAGAATTTTACAAACCTTTCCCAGAAAGTAATTTTTGAAAAGCCTGATGAACTTTTCCAACTGTGAGCCTCATCCCATTTTTAACTCGTACAATCTTCGAATCGCTGGAGTTATCAACTCTGTTTTCAATTTCCCCCTCAATTTCCTGGCATTTTACTGCATTATCAATAAATCGCCACGAAGTATGCTGAAACACTACAAATGGCTTCTTATCAATTGTCAATTTTGGTTGGTCCAATCAATTTTTCTTTGTAATTCTTCCTATATAGGTATTTCTGTGTCGACATTTTAATGAACATTTTGTTCGTTCCGATAACTTACAGCCCAAATTGGAGCGTCTATTCGAACGGCTTGCTCAGAACTTTGGGGGTCCCTATCAAGTTTCAGTTTGGATTCACAGCAATTCTTTCTCCATGTAGGGTCACGCAGTTTTTAACAATTATCATCACATCGATTTTAGTCGCAATAATCAGCGTGAATGCGCTATTTGAGCATCGGCACTTTTGTATATCGCCTCCAGAAAGTTGCTTCAGTTTCAATGACCGAAAAACGCTGTATAGTTTTTCTTCTTCTCTTTCTGGCAGTGGGAATTCCACTCTGGCTGATATATTGGAATGTTCCTGAGGATCAGGATTCTGCAAAATTTATAGTTATACAGGTATTTTTCAATAAAAAAATATCGCAGTGGCCGCATGTAGCTAAATGCGTTCCGGCTGTTTTAGTGTGAACTTTGGAGTTTCCTGTAAATTTTTGAAAGTTCTCTAAAATTCCAGTTCCTCAAATCTCCAAAAATCGAAGTTTTTTTCGCAGAGTCTTTAAGCAAACTCCAAGCTTCTCTATAAATAAACTCTCTTGTTACTAGAGATTCTTTTTTCCTTTTTACTGAGAGTTATAAAGCCAGCATGCGTAACTTGCTTTGTGGTCGGGTGCAGCTTTGCAATAACCGTCTCAAGCCTTTCCCAGTTCAACCATTCTCCATGAAATGGTTTTTTAAAGTTCAAATATGACAGAAGGAAAAACCTTAGTTTCAGAGAATCGGCTGTATACCGGAAGATATTTTCACGGCGCACGCTATAATCTTAGATACCAACCATTTCGCGATGATTAGTTTTTTCACAACACTCTTTATATCTGGTTCCTTTGGCGCCTTTTTTTGTTTTCGAATTTGCTATTTTTTGTTTAAATCGCGGAGTAAAGTCTCAGCGAGGACGCTTGAACAGCAGAAAACTTTTTTCTACTCGTTAATTTGTCAGGTTAGCTTTTACCTTCAAGTTTAGCGATGCAATATATTGAGATTCAGATGGTCATACCGGTGGTACTTTTAGCTTCACCATTCACGCTTACTAAAATTGTCAATTTCGTAACAAGATCAACGGGGAATTTACCATGTAAGTGAGATATCGGATTTTCAACTTAAAATTATCGTACTTGTCAGACGCGGGTATTATCGGTTCCTTCACGTATGGTCTTCACGGCTTGTTTTTCTACTATCGTTTTGCTTTTTGTCTATAAAAAAATTATCGATCATTCTGCCTAAGTCTGTTCTCGAAAAAGCATGAACATGAGAGCAGATTCGTTCTAGTCTTTCACACCACGAACATACTAATTTGACGAACTTATTCTGGAATAAACTAGATTTTTTTCCCATTTTTTTGTTGTGAGCTATCAAGTTTAACTTGTTGGGAATGGAACCAAAAATTCAAAAAAATTGGTTCTAGATGCAAAAAAAGAAAATAGAACTGAATAAGCTGACTCTTCCGAAATTTCATAATTTCAATCTAAACCGATTTCAATTTGAATCGTTTTAATCATCACTTATGTATTATAGTATCGTTTAGTCAAGGCTATCTAAAATCTACTTATCTGTTCCACCGTAGTCTCTAAACCTATGAGGAACTGAATTATTGGGAATATGCAATATAATGCGTGGGATATCGGCAACTTACAAAAAAAGTAATGAGTCCGTTGAATTGAGTTTTCACGTCTGAACACCGTGCAGAATGAAACTCAATGAACAACTTCATTATTTTTCCAATTTTTGTTCGATGAAGTGAATTATTGAAATGTTCAAGTGTTTGCAGTGTTCCGATTATCAAAAAAACCTTCGAACAGGTTTTTTTCATTAATGAGCTTCAAAGCTCGAAAATAATAAATTTTTCATAAAAACAGATTTTTTAAAAACGATAATAGAATGAAGAAAAAAATCGAAATCTTAAAATATCACCTGTTATTATTTAATCAGGCAAAAAAATGAAGCACTGAAAAAAATCAAAAATAAACTTTGAGAAAAATCATTTTTCTAAACCGTCTTTTTAGTTGCAAATTACCGGCAGGTGATTTTTAACATTAATCTTTCAAGATTTTTAAGGAGCGTGTATCTGTTGAAAAATTTTTTTCTCACATAACGAAATCCCCAAAAAGGCAAAAAGGTTTTTTTCAAAAATTTCTTACTTCTAAAAAAATATTTCCGGTCATTTTTTTAATTTTTTTAAAATCTTGCTCCTTATTGAATTATTACTAGTTAGAAGAGGATGTCTCAAAAATTTTTGATATCGCTAATAATACTATATATATATATATCGCTGTGGTTGTTTTTAAAAGGCGCCCCTACCTGAAACGACTAGCAGTTTTTGCGTATCAAAACATATGTATGATCCACCCTGACGATCTTCTTGTGATTTGAATCCAACCTCCCTGAATCATTCCAGATGCGGTCACGGAATCACATTTCCAAGCCGGAACAAATTAGGTGTAACTTTTTTTTAAACTACATTTTTCTCGAAGCCTGAATAGAAGAACAAAGTGTTGCTGTCATTATTTCAAATACGGTGGCCATTTAATTAACTGAGATTGAGAAAGCCAAAAAATCACCTGCCTTTTCATTTCATTGCTTCCTACTTTCCTATCATTACGGAAAAATGAATTTCTCGGTTTGTGAGCCTCATCCGTTCTTCAATGCAAAAAATCTGAGAACGGCTGCCCATGTCAGCTTTATTCTTACCCTACCTTCAAATATTCTGGCTTTTTATTGCATTACCAAAAAATCACCGTCAAGCATGTTGAAACAATACA